AGTGTAACTCACCACTCACAAGGTTTTTTTAAAATGCAGGGCTCTGAGACTCACCCTCTGAATTCTTGTTAAATTATTCTAGAGTGGGTCTTGGATAAAGTTTCTATTTATTTAAAACTTCCCTGTGTAGTTATATTATTCAGCTTGTCTAGTTTAGGTCTCATGCTATAAATATAGGAATGGTACAAAATGTATTTTTTTTCTTTTTAATTGTAATTTTAATGACAGTTTACAGAAAAGTTGGATTTTTCATTCATTCATTCATTCCATTCATTGTTGCACATTTTCCTCCCTGCTCTTCCCATTTCACTTAAAAAAAATTCATCATTGCAGCTTCCTCCCTCTACCCACCACTCCCCCTGTCCACTTTCTTATGCACCTCTTCTTATTCAGAAAGACAAATATTTGTACTCTCATATGAATAATACCTAATCATATATTCTTTTTAAACAATTCTTTCCTTCATCTGTTCTAACGCAGTATTCATTATTTATCCCCTCTTTTCATAGTTTCCCCCAAGTCCTGTGTCAGTCCTGTTTTATAACAATGGCACTATGCAGTATTTGTTCTTTTGTGATTGAGATATTTCAATCAGAATATTGAGATATTTCAATCAGCAGGGTCACCCATATTGTGTAATATTTTATAAGTTCCTTGTTTTTCAGTGTTGCATAGTATTCAATTGTGTAAATATACCACAGTTTTTCTATCCATTTATTGATGGACACTTGAGTTGCTTCCATCTCTTTACCATTATGAATAATGCAGCAATAAATATGAGTGTGTGTCCATCTGAGTCATGGCTCTGTTTTCCTTAGGGTACATTCTTGGTAGTAGAATTGCTGGGTCAAATGATATTTCTAATTTCTGAAAAAGTGCCATACTGCCTTCTATAGTGGTTGCACAATTTTACATTCTCACCAGCAGTGAATCAGGATTCTAATCTCTCCACAACCTTGCCAACATTTGTTGTTTGCTGCTCTGTTTGACTCTGCTATTGTCATTGGGTGTGAGGGTATGTCATAGTAGTTTTGGTTTACATCTCTCTGATAGCTAGGGATTTTAAATGCATCTTTGTGTTTGTTTACCATCCAAATGTCTTCTTTGGTGAGGTGTCTGTTCATATCCTATGCATATTTTACGACTATATTGTGTCAATATTGCGACAAGAGGCTTAAATTTGTTTTTCAGTTCTTTCAGCTTGGAAAATACAGAGCGATGTCTTCCTTTTTTATTCTTCAATTTCAGCTCTCCGCACATTCCCTTATAATACTTTGTATTTTCCCACTGAGCCGCCCTTTGAAGTCTTCCATTGAGCTCTTTCATGTAGCATGTTTTCCTTTTGCTTTGGCTTCTTAACACTCCAGTGCAATTTTTATATTCTCTTCTGATATCAGTTTCTATTTTTTCCCTTTCTCCTCTGTTTTTTAATGACCTTTTGCTTTCTTCATGAATAATATCTTGATACCATCCCACAACTCACTTGGTCTTCTATCATTGGTGTTCAATGCCTCAAACCTATTCTTAAAATAGATGACTATGGAATTTATTCAAGATTATGCTTTGGTTTCTGTGGATTTATATTCATTTTCTTTGGCCTCAGTGTGAACTTGCATATGAGTAACTGATATTCTGACTCAGAGTCTGCTCCAGTCTAATTTTGACTGCAAATAATGAGCTTTTCCAGTGATTTTTTTCCACAAATGTAGTCAATCTGATTCCTATGCAGCTCATCAGGTGAGATCCACATATAAAGTCACCATTTGTGTCTGTAAAAAAAAAAAAAAAAAAAAAGGTATTTGCAATGAATACATCATTGTACATACAAAATTCAATCATTCTATTTTCAGCCTCATTTCTACCACCAAGCCCATATTTTCCAACTACTATTCCTTCTTCAGTGCTTCCTACTTTTGCGTCCCAGTCACCAATTATCATTAATGCATCATGATTGTATGTTTGGTCAATTTCAGACTACAAGATTTGGTAAAAATTCTCAATTTATTCGTCATTGGTTCTAAATGGAGGAGCATGTTGTTGTTGTTGTTGTTATGTGCCGTCAAGTCATTTGCAAGTCGTAGCATATATTTAAATAATAGTCATCTTAATGGTTCTTTCTGAATATTATTCTATCACTCACAACTCTGTATTTCAGAGTACAACTTGAAATTGACTTTTTTGACTGTGAGTACACCACTAACCTTCTTCTGTCTTTCAATCTATGCATAAAATGTTGTTGCTGTTATGTACTGTCAAGGTACTTGTGACTCATAGCAACCCTATCTATAATATCTCTGAATCTTGCTCTACCCTGCGCCAAACTTATTGGCTCTGACACACTTACACCTATTACCCCAATCACTGAATGAATTCACTTCATCAAGGATCTTCCTTTCCTGCACTGTCCCAAGCATGACGTCCCTCTCAAAGGACTGGTCACTCCTGTAACAGGTCCAAAGTATGTCAGATGAAGTCTCAGAACGTACCTCCAAGGAGCAGCCTGGTTTCACGCTCTCTAAGACAAACCTGTTTATTCTTCTAGCAGTCCATGGTATATTTAATACACTTCTCCAGAACCACAGCTCAAAGGCATCAATTCTCCTTCTAGCATCCCTAGTCATTGTCCAGCTTTCTGATACATAGCACGTAATTGTGAAGACATGGCCTGGATCACGTGCACCCTGGTCTCCAGACTGATGTCATTGCTCTTTAGTACTTTGGAGAGGTCTCTGACAGCAGACTTTCTGAATGTAATTTGATTGTTTTTATTTCCTGGCTGCTGGTACCAAGAGTGTTGATTATGGAGCCAAGCAAACTAATGGTGTTAACAGTTTCCATCTTTACCATCTCTCATAATGTTTCCACTTAGGCCCAGTGGAAGAAAGGCTACCAATACTGATATCAAATGGTTATTGACTCAAACCAGAGAAAATAATAAAAATGTTTATTTGTGATTTATTGGCAATGAAAGGGCATTCTACTGTGTGGAATAACAAAATATTAATAACATGAGAATAATGATAATTCCAGACCACTTAATTGTGCTTATATGAAACTTATGCATTGGTCAAGAAGCAATCATTCAAACAGAAGAAAGGAAAACAGCATGGTTTAAAATCAGGAAACATGTGTATTAGGTTTATATTCTTTCTCTAGACCATTTAGTTTGTATTTTAAGCAAACATTTTAAGAAGCTGGACTATATGAAGAAGAATGTGGTATCAAAATCAGAGGGAGATTCATCAACAACCTATGTTATGCGGGTGGTACAATCTTGCTTATAGAAGATGAGGAATACTTGCTGAAGAAAATCAACGTCTAAATAAATATTTTCACAACTGGACCAATAGGCAACATCATGATCTATGGAAAAAGATTGAAATTGTAAAGGTTTTAGTTTTATTTGGACCACCACTCAAAATACATGGTAGTAACATTTACAAAATAAAAAACAATGTGTTTCATTGATAAAATCTGTTGTCAAGGACTTCTCCAAAGTGCTAAAGAGCATTAGTCTGTCTAAATAGTAAGGTGCACCTGATGAAAGCCATGGTATTTTCAAAACTGTCAACAGCTTTATCTTGCTTGGATCCACAATTAACACTCTTGGTACTGGCAGTCAGGAAATAAGGAGATGCATTGCACTGGGAAAATCTGCAGTTAGGGACCTCTCCAAATTATTGAGGAGTAATGATGTCAGTTTGAGGGCTAAGGTGCATCTGATTCAGGCCATGATCTTTCCAATTACTTGCTTTGCATCTGAGAGCTGGACAGTGAATAAAGATGACAGAAAAAGAATTGACATCTCTGAGCTGTGATGTTGGAGAAGAGC